CATGGGAAGTACGGGAAATGGCAGACGACGGCTTACCCATACTCTTCTTTATGCTGAAATTACACGGCATTTTGATAATTAACCCTCAAGACTACCCTCTTGAAAATTTAGTTAAAAAGATCCTATTCCACATCCAGCAAAAATATGCTTAACATTGAATAAGCTAAACTGTCATTATGTCCCTATTTCCTAACTACCATGTTTTTGTAGCATTTTTCCACGCTTTTCCAAACATATATACACACGCCCTTGTTTGTTTGGTGCATATCCCATTATGCATGCATATCTACATTGTTCATAAACGATTTGCAAATTGTGGCCACACTATTAACACAGGTAGATGCCCAAATAGAATGATGATTTTCTTTGACAGAAAGAAGAAGTAAAATTGTGAATAAATTTTGTTAAATATTTCTCGCCACCTAGACTTCCAAAAATAATAAGTTGAAATTTGTTTGTTTGAGATTGTGAGTTAAACTAAGTTTTTTTAGTCGTCTCATCTAGTATTAAAAAAATTAAAAACCTAAAATTAACAATGGTTTAGAGATTTTAGGATAATGAATTAGTTATACTTTCGAAAATATATCAACCACCCAAAGATACTCTTTCCGAGGAAAGATATCACATTTAGTTTAATCCTAAAAATTTATCTTCTAAAAGTTTTATTTTTGCCAATATATTTCTGAGTCAATTTTCAAATTTATTACCTAAGCCAAATTAATTTTTTATTTTTATTTATGGCATCATATTGAATCAATCGTCGGATCTCGATGTTGAGAGTCTCGTCAATCCAACATTGGATTCATTTAACTTTCGAGATAAGCTGGTACATCGGAGAACAACTTAATTATTAAATGTGATTGAATTTTGAAATAGCACTAGTCCCTATTGGATAGAAAACTCATTAATATTTGCTTAAAATGCCTTTTTTTTTGTTCTTTTCATATTTTATGTTGAGATATACGAGGAAAACATTATCAAAATTATTTATTTTTTTGTTTTTTTGTTGTAGCATTGTATTAAATTAATGTCATGCTCTAAAATTTAGGAGTTCCATCAATTTAGTATCGAATCCAAATTAAAGTCCCGACACAATTGGAATGTCGAGAAATAATATAATTAACTAAAAGTATTTGCATGAAATGTTGAATAAAATCAATCGACTTGACCCATTATTTATTTTTTATTTTATTTTTTTGCATTTTCAATACTAAACAAATATATCAAATCATCGTCCGTCCCTAATAAATAAGAAACTCATTCATTCGACATTACAACCGAATCAAACTCCATACATTAAAATAAATTTTATAGCATAGATATTTCTAAATTTTCTAATACAAATAAAATTAACATTAGTACAAAATAACATCATAAACTAATTAAAAAATAAATAGGCGGGAGAAACAAACCAAATGGTTACTAAAGGGTGACCAAAATGCCACTTACAATGCTAATGAAAATGACCATAATGCTCCCGATAGCAAAATTATAAAAATACCCTTGCATGTCAAAATTATGAAACCGCCTCTCGAAATCCCAATGCTATTGTCGCTTGCTCGGTCACAATCCGATGTCCTTCAAGCACATCGACCGGTCGGCATAGAGGAGGAGGTCCTCGTCGGTCGTCTCATTGTGGTGGCGGTTGTCGACGAAGTAGGAAAAGGGAGATTGGTATGGTTAAAGGTTCAATCGTTTCTTCTTCTCTTCTTGATGGAGATTTTGACCACGACGAGGCAAGGGAAGACCACCAAGCTACTCGGAAGATCACGAGGAGCATTTATATGGTGGTTAGGAGCCTTGGTTTGGTCGGATCAAGGAGACTTGGCTAGGTTTGGAAGAAATGGGGTCAACCGGTTCCTCTTCTCTTCGATTTGACCAATTTGGACGATATTTCGCAATAATTTCAAAGGGGGAAACTTATAGGAAGATTAAGGAAAATTATGAGGTGGTGGGAGTTGTTGGTTTGGCCAAAAAACGACGATAATAATGAGTACACAAGCCGAATCGGATCGTCAACTTTTTCTCGCTCGATTTCTCCCTCCTTTGGCGTTCTCTTCTTTCCTAACCAATTAGGAATGACGGATCTAGTGATGAGTCATCGATTTGTGGTGGTAGATCAAAGTGATTTCGATCGAATTAATGATCGATTTGAGGGAGGAAATGCCTACTGGTCTACGGGGTGACCCGAGTCGGCACTCTTTTTCTTTCTTTAGATAGTAAGTGAATAATTGTGGAGGCTCCCTAAAAAATGAAGTGAAAATGTGTTTATATAGCTAGGGATTTTTTTTTAGGATTTGGGATAAAATCAATCGAGTCATTCTTTGGATTATTTTTCTCAACTTCAATGTATATTCCATTATTTTTCTCGAATTAGCTCCTTAATTAAAATTGTTTAGTCTCTATTCTCTTGATTTTTTTTTTAATTTCACACTAATTCATTCTCAATCAAGTTTCTTGATTTTTATCCCTTTTCAATTACATTTCTATTTGAACGTCACTCACCCCTCGCTTTTCACATCATTTTCAATTGGATCCCAAATCATCTTCTCAAATTTTTAATTATTTTTTTATTTTTTGAATTAAAAATGAGGATAATTCTAAGAAATTAAAATCTTACAAATTTATAAAAATGCCTGCCGACTTTACTAATTATAATTAAAATATTTTGTTCAAGTTATGGGATAACAGATATTTCGAGAAACTCATTTGACTGAAATTAAAAACTATTTAGGTAGTAAAAAGTAGACAAGTTTCCATAAAAAGAGGTTGAAATAGACAGACTTTGAAGCCCTCATTCTGATAATTAATTGTAGGTTAAAAAGAGGTTGAAATAGACAGACTTTGAAGCCCTCATTCTGATAATTAATTGTAGTTTATCTTAAAAATTAATCATCCACTTGGTGAAGGTTGAGCGTATGCAATCGGTTTTCATTTAGGGTCCCTCTACTGTCTGGTGTGAGCTCGTTCTCATATGCGAACGAGCTCCTTGGCTGTTGGATGTATGTGTATATATATATATACACACGCACATGCCAAATGGTTGGTTAATTTTTAGTTTAACGTATCGTTATTACTTTATATATATTTTCTAGTTTTGATTGTTAATACTATCTCTTTCTATCATTTGATAGTACAATTTTCAGGAAGAGAAGAGATGGATAGAAGTTAACTACAAACTGTTCGGGCTGTTTTTGCTAATAGTTTGTAACATTGGTTTCTCATCTATTGTTCAGATTACGATTCAAAGATAAATTCACCTTATCAATAAAATCTATTATTCTAAAAATACACAAATACCAATAGTTTCTATAAAATTTGTGTTCATAGATAAACTTATCTTATTAGTAAAATATATTATTCTAAAAATATACAAATATCGACGTCAGTTTCAATAAAATTTGTGAACACAGATCTAGATTTTCTGCAATTCATACTTGCCACCCCAAAACTCAAAGTTTATTGATATTCATCTTTAGTTCTTGATCAAATATATTTAATTCCGGATCAAACTTTCAAAGTAGAGGCAATTCCAAATTCAACTTTCTGTCATTAATGCTGGGTAATTTATTGTGCAACTGCCTCTATTGCTAATCTACCTTTGAACTTAATCATCTTTCAATGAGATAATTTTTTTGTCCAGAACATAAATTTTAGATGGACTCTCAATGATTTTTTTTTTAATTATCTATGATTCAATCTGTTTTGATCCATTGGATGTGTATGATAATCTTCTCTGAATTAATTAATATTTGAGTGTACTAAAATTTGATGGATACCAATCACTGTAGTAAATATATATATATATATATGTTACGTGGAATTGGATATGTTTCTACAGATATGTTGTATGATCATGTAATTTGGGCTTGGGATTCCTTTTCCAATCACGGAGTCTAGCTACAATCTAAGTAAAAATAGCTGTAAAATGTTTAGATGTTGTTTCGTACATGTCATGACCATGAATACTAGTACATATAATTAACCATTCCTGGCATTAAAGCGATAATCTCAACTCTTCTCAAATCAATTCCTCTAACCACTATTTTATTTATTGTTTTGGTTTTAACACAAGGATTTCCTCTAACCACTAATTAGCTGCGCTACAAGATACATGTGGATGCTCTAAAACTCACCAACGTACAGTAACATTTATGTTGTTACAAGGCATGACAACTTTGACATTGCCAACTTGCTTCATCAGTACCAATTTATACAGGCTTACCTATGCAACCACTATAGAAACTGCTTCCAAAAAGAAGCATGATGTGCCAAAAGCAGAAAAGTACAATTAATGGCTATTACTTTGCATACATATATACGGGCCTCTATTTTACTAACTATGTGCATGCAAATTAAATTAAAGAGTGGCTATCTCCTCGCGTTTGGCCAGCCAAGACCGATGTTCACCACTGGCTAACCCAGTACATATTGTCGCGCTGGGCCAATTTTCGGTTGCATATAGAAATGATCAATTTGATTGTTAATATCACATCAATTCTTGTGTTTCCGCTAATTAACTTCTTAATGAAAGGTATTAGGAAAGAAGTCTTTGCAGATAGGGAGAGCTGTCTCTTCAGTACACAAACTATTATCAATGTACCCAATAATTAATCGATGGGGTTTGTTTGATTTAACGTAGTACCATGGCCTACAATGTTAAATGTGGAAAAAAAAAACAAAAAGAAAGGGGATAAATAAAGGAGATAACAAAAAGAAAATGAACAGGTGAGAAGAAGAAGTTCATGGGCTAATTAATAGCATATACTAACAAGAAAGGGTCATTGGTTCTACAGGTATATTAGGGCTAAAAGTGTCGTGTAAAACCAACAAAAGTGACTTGCCATCCATAACCCTAAACCAACCCTCCCGCTTTCTTATTCTGTTGGTACTGCTCCTTTCTTATGCAACTATATATCTTCTTGTGGACTTCTTTCTGGTGTATTTGATGATAAAGAATTCAAAGCTAGATAGGGGTCCAGCAAAACTGTTGGCTATCCATGGAGAAATCTTTGGCTGGTAATTCAAGTGATGATGCAAAGAGTACTACTTGCCCTAGAGGCCACTGGAGACCTGCTGAGGATGACAGACTCAGGCAACTTGTTGAACAATATGGTGCACAAAACTGGAATTCTATTGCGGAGAAGCTCCAAGGAAGATCAGGTTAATTATATATATATATATGTATGTATGTATATACAATTTTAAAAATTATTTTTCGATGAATCAGCCGATTATCATTAAGATCATCGGAAATTGATGCTTGATTTAGAGATAATATATGTGTATGTGTGTGTGTGTTTGTGTGAGTGTGTATATATATATATAAGGAAAAAAACTGTAAGGAGGAATTAAACTCATACAGTATACGCATATATTAAATTTTAATTTGTTACATGAAACGGGTTTCCAATTTCTTAAAAAAAAAAAAAAAAAAAAAAAAAGATTGCAGATTGATTCTTTGCTCAAGTAATTAACAGATATCAATGATAGGTCTCTCTACATGTGTGTAGGAGTAATTCTGCATCATGCTAGATAATTTTATCAGCTTTTGTTTTTTATCTTTTTTTGATAGAGTAATTTAATTTAACAGCTTATGATTGAATTAATAACGTCTCATATGTATGCTAGCTTGAGTAACTTCCAAAATTCCTATCTCGTGACATGGGAGATAAAATTCTACTAAGTATAATTATGGTCTCTCTCTTTATGCGGACACACACATGCACACACTTTAAATACTTGGTTCCTGAGTTCCTCTCTTTTTGCAGGTAAGAGTTGCAGATTGAGGTGGTTTAATCAACTTGATCCTAGAATCAACAGGAGACCTTTCAGTGAAGAGGAAGAGGAGAGACTACTAGCAGCTCATCGCATTCATGGAAACAAATGGGCTCTAATAGCCAGACTATTTCCAGGTCGAACTGATAATGCTGTGAAAAATCATTGGCATGTCATAATGGCAAGAAAGCAAAGGGAACGATCCAAGCTATGTGGAAAGAGGAGTTATCAAGATAATCTTAGTGACTCCAACGCCACCTCTAATAGTTCACAAGCAAGGAAATCAAAGGCTCCAGAGGTGTTCAGTTCAAGAATTGCATTTGAGGACTCTAGAGTCCTGGAATTTCGAAACCCCAGTAAAGATAGGATATTCTCAATATCTCCTTCTAGTTCTTCACCTTCTTGGAATTTTGCCCCACCAAACATAGTAGCTTCAAACAATTCTTCTTCAGTGGACTTATCAAGAAGGGAAGGAAGAGATAATTACTTCAATTCAAGTTTATTTTGCACCACCGAGAGCTCCAAAATCTCTGATCAATCTATTTATAGATACTACATGAATTCTTCGGTGTATGGCGGCTATCGTAGTTCAAATATATTCGGGCTTCCGAACTATAGAAGGGTTGTTCCAAGTCCTTTTCGATACCTTAAGCTTGGAGATGATTATGAAAACCATGGAAAGGTCAAGAAAGAGTTGGCAAGTTCTTGCCATAATTCATCCACATTAAAGAATATGAGAGCGACGAGTAACCATCAAGAGCAAGGAGATCATGAATCTATCAGACACAAGGATGTTCCTTTCATAGATTTTCTTGGGGTGGGTATATCTTCTTGATCAAAAAAAAAATTCTAATTATATTTTGTCGTAATCTATGATAGTTTAGCGCTTACACTTTCTTTTGATCTTGTGAAAAATGTTGATGGCATGAAAATTAAGTAGCAACAGTATTGTAGCTTTCATGTGAGTTAAATATTTGGCAACAATTCCTTGACCTCCCCTATTGTTTGATACATAATAGATCATATATATTACAAGATTCAAGCGTAATACCGTATGATGTAGACAACCGTGCGAATTGCAAGACATTCTTAATCGTCTCTAGGTCTGAGATATTACCACGATCATCCAAATATGTTTTTTTTTTTTAATGGATCCTTAATTATTAATTGGTTCACTTTATCCTATTTCATTTGTCGATGCAATAAATTGTTTTAAAAAAATTATTTCAAGTGTATTTGTCACGTTCCCAAGCTAGCTATGGTTCCCTTTTTTCATTTGCCCCCTCTATATTTGGTTAGTGATCTGAAATTTAATATTTCTATTTTTAAGCTTCATTTTTTAAATGTAAAATATGATCTCGTTTTCCAATAATATTGTACTTTGACAATCTTGTTGCAAATTAGATATAAGTGCTTGATCTGTTGAGACACTACAGAAAAAATAGATATTAATCACCTCAAGTTCCCAAAACTTGTGACATAATTAATGATCTGCAATTTATCACTGACTGATTCCATGCCATGAAGGTTAATGAAAATATTCGTTAAGGATATTTGTGATATGTACATAAACTAAGTGATAACAGGAATCCAGATAGATAATATGCAACTAAAGAATTGAAATGATCGTCTTCACTTTTTTAGATTCTAAACAACCTCAACGAGGACATGCATGCCATGTTCCTTTAATTATAATCATATGTAATTTGAGAAATCTAGGTTTGATGTGGGGTTTTTACTTCTATCTATTAAAAGAACATAATTAATGATGTGATGTTTTTTATGTTTCAAGTGACTTCTTAATTTTCAAAGCCTCTTCATTTTTACTCGCTTCTCAGTCTTATTAACTATTTTATTTTTTCAATTGAGCTTATATTTTCTTTTTTTATCTCATGTTTCCTAAATTTATAAATTTTTAGCATATTAAGAAAATATTGATAAAAATATTCAAACACGGATTATAAATCTTGCATATTTTAATAAAATCATTACGATTTAATACTAAGTTACCATAGCTTAGTATAATCTTTTTACTTATTTTTTTGTTTTCAAAAAATAAAAAAATGTGTTAATTGTGTAAAGCATAAAGCTCAATATAATAAAATTAACAATACTAATACAAAATATATATATATATATTGTCCGTGTCATGATTATAAAATTTTATATTAATCCTTCAAATCATATTAAAATTTTTAAACTCAAATTAATAATTAATCATGCGATATTTTATAATTGAAATAATACTACTTCTAATATTTTTTTTCAAATTTTGATGAGATGAATTTAATATGATTGAATGATAAATATTTGATTGAAATATTTTTTTAATACTTTATAAAGTCAATTAAAATATAAAAAAATATTATGTCATTAGTGATGTTATCTTAATAGAGAAAAAGAAGAATTAAAATTTTGATGAAAGTTCAAGGATATTTAATACAAACAAAATCTCATGAGAGAAATTGAGAAACCCCTCAAATGTCAAAGGGCAATTTTTTTTTATTTTTTTATTTTTTTTTTGTATTGTGAAGAATTTTTAAGATATTTATAATCTCATGATTAGTTGAAATATATATACAAAAATCAACTGACAATAATTAAATTCCTCGATAATTCTAATTAATTTGGAGTACTTTTAATTTATACATAAACATCACGGGTCTTAAACAATTACTTCCTTCGTTCCAAAAAAAAAAAGTCCTATTAGACTTCTCATAAAAATTAAGACAATGCATTTAATATTGTGTCAATTTATACACCTTTTACTGCATGTCATTTAAAATTAAAAGTAGTTGAAAAAAAAAATGTGAATTCGATTTTTAAAGAGGGATAAAGTAATAAAATTTGATACTCAAATCTTTGATTGTTTGCTAAAAGGCATACATTCTAAAACATTTAAGGGTAAATGGGTCAAACTCTTCTTATTTTAGTTCATTTAAAATTCAATCCCTGAAAGTCTAATTTTGAGTTTGACCTCTCTTAATTTTTTTTTTTTTTTAATTTAGTCTATCTCCAGTTATCACCTCTTTAAAAATTTTAATTTTTGATATTTTAAGCTGAAACTTTGGGCACACATTAGAAAACATTGATACATTTTTTTTGAAAAAGTCTTAAAATTTTTCAAGATAAAAAAATACATTGTTTTATTTTCTTAACATTAAAAATATAGAAAATAAAAGATAATCCAATATGATCTCAATTTTTTTTTAGAAATCCCAGATAAATTTTGCTAAATAATTTTCATCATAAAACTATTTATGTGACCATTATTTTTTTATAGAAAAAAAAATTGACTAAATTTAAAAAAATAATAAAGTTTAAGGGATGATAAATCCAAAATTAGTGATTGGGGGACTAGTTTTAAAATAGATTAAACAAAACATTTTGGTAGTCGAATAAAGATTAAATATATTTTAATGCTAGTTTAATCCAGAAAATGATAATTTAATTTCGATTGATGCGAAAACTGAATCGAGAATACTTGTATTACCTAAGCGAGAAAAGGGTATATAATAATGTTTGATCCTCTTATGCTAAAGTTAATTTGTCGTTGATTAACTCGTAGAGCTTGCAATTTATTTTTTGAACCAAATGGTTTCAAATTGAAGTATGAAGAATCTTAAAAAGAAATGCGAACAGTCTTTAGTTTTTTGTGACATTAATTAAGTAGCACGAAGTCACTTGATACGCATATTTCATTTTTATCCTTACGATAAAGTAGGGGAGGTGTTCAGCGATGAACAAAAAATGATATCTTCAGAAATAAAAATAAAAAATTTTTTCCTTCAATTTCACTGCCCCTTCTTAATATGTTTTAATGAATTGTACTTTAGATTTTTCTTTTCTAAGTACTTTGATTCGTGGGTAATAATATATTTTCCACACGACTTTACTTTTCACAACACCAAAAAAATTATAAACTAATCAAAAATATCAATTTGACGTTGTTGTCCTAATTAAAGCAATTTTGTTAACGTTAGATGATATATTTTCAATCAATTTTCGCATATTAAAATGAGATCACCTCTCCCATCTAGTAAAACACAAACTTGAAACCAACATCGAAAACTTTACGAGAATTTATATAGAGTTCCAAATTATAACGCGAAGCGCCTTCTTAATTAACACTTACTATTGCATAGTTGACTGACGGCTTTGTCATCGCATTTAAAAAGTAGAATAATAGCCCTTGAATTCTTTTTGTAATGACAATGAGATCTTTATTTAAATTGTAATATTAAATAAATCCATTTTCTGCCCCGTTAATTTAATTACTAACCATTGATCCTCTTACTGTTACTATTGGACTAGTTGGCGAGGTCTATCTTCGGCCGCAAAAAATATAAATAAAAAATTCTTACCACTACTGTTCTACATAGCTAGTTGGCTTGAAAATTCCAACCTTCACCGAAATTATCGTCAGAAAATTGTCATCACCAATCAATAAAATTCTTTTTTTTTTTTTTTTTTTTTGCATTTTTGAAAGTGTAAAGACCCACGATATAAATTACCCTTATCTAGAAGGACAAGAAGTCGATAGCATCCACCCAATCACATACGTGCGTTACTAGCGCGTACCCTCCACATTATCTATCCCTGTCTACATTCAAAAAGACCAAAGCCCCTAAGTCATTCATTCATCTTCTCTCTTTGAAAATGTCGATGGTGCTAATGGCTGCTAGAACTGCCACTTCCATACTCTGTCTGAACCCGAAACATTCAGCATTGGGGTCAAACTCAAAGTCAAAGGCAAACATAAAGCACTCGGGCTATCCAACGGTGAGAATGCAGAGGAAGACGACGACGCGGATACAACGTCTGATTGAAGATGAAGGGATAGTGTTAATGCCAGGATGCTATGACGCTCTCTCAGCTGCCATTGTTGAGAAAACCGGATTCAGTGCGGGTTTTGTTTCGGGTTATGCTGTCTCCGCTTCTCTCCTCGGCAAACCCGACATTGGCCTCCTCACGTACGTGGGCCACTACTCCTTCCTTTACTCAATTGTTTATTTATTTTTATAAGTACATATCAAATCCAGCATTCCCCGGCTAGGCCAATGTCAGAACAGGTCTAGTTTTTATTCGATTACCTCATTGTCTTTTAGATCAAACCCGTTGTAATATTGTATATACTTATGGTTACTTATTGAACCTTGCTTTTGGCTAAACCAAACAATTCTTTTACAGCTAGACCACATGCCTTGGTGGTCCCTTTGCTCATTTATTAGTTTAAGATTTTGTTATATTTATTGGATTGGTTGTTTCAGGCCACCCGAAATGTCTGCCACTGCTAGGACGGTGTGTGCGGCGGCTCCCCTCATACCGATCATTGCAGATGCTGGTAAAAGTTGCTTCTTCTTTTTTTTTTTTTTTTTAGTACTTTTATTGTTTTTGCATTGCAATTGTTTTGGTTCTTTATTAGCTAATGCCATGATGATTAATATCTCTCTAAGATATAATTTTTATAGCTTAGTAATTATTATTTATGATTATTAATGATCAGCATGTATTAACAATGTGAAAAGAAAAAAAAGGTCTTGTAGCTTGATCAAACATTTGAAAGTTTGAAGATGCTTATGGCTTAAGTATTTGTTTTCGCTGGGGTTGAGACTATTCCCAGAAGTACTTTGTTGATCTAAAGTCTGTTTAGCAACTAGTTTTATGTTTTTATAACCCAACCAGTAACTGCTGAATTTGCTCCTTGTCCTGCCATTTCTTCTTTCTTTTTCTCTGATTGCTTCTATCGTAACTACAGCGCAGCTTGTGGATAGCCCCAGAAATTAGTCTTTTTCTTGTTTGATGATGTAGATTAATTTAACATTCAAAGTTTTCCTTTCTTTGAACTTAGGATCCAACTTGTTGAAAGTTGCTAAAAACTTGTTACCTTTTCTTTTTTCCACACATCCTTAACTTGTAAATGGCCTGCTGAAAAATAATCATCAAAGGAGTATAATTTTCTGTTGGAGTATAAGCTTCAAAAGGACCAGACTTGCTTTCAAATACATTTTCAACTATGTCTGCTCGCATTACTTGAAAGTATAAACTAATTAATTAAGTCTCATCGTATTAACTTGAATGTTTTATATCAATAATACACATTTTTTATGAACCTTTCCACTTCAGATACTGGTGGTGGCAATGTTCTCAATATTCAGAGGACTGTCAAGGACTTGATTGCAGCTGGTGCTGCTGGATGTTTTCTAGAGGTACTAATTTAGATTTCTTTTTCATTTATGGCAACACAAAGTTGTTCCTTCCTTTCATGGCCGTATACCAACTTATTGAAATTGATTTTCCTTCCAGGATCAAGCATGGCCAAAGAAGTGCGGTAGAATCTGCATCACTGTTTTGTTCATGTTCAATTTGATTGTTTTGGAAATGGAGTGTGGTGTTTGCAATTTTTATGTTTCAGTAAGCTGCCTCCAATTCTGATTATCTTTCTTTATGTGTCAAATTGCAGGGCATATGCATGGCAAACAGGTATTCATTTTGATTTTGAATCTTTTAGTACAAGTGATTCTGCTGATTTTTCCATAGATACGAGGTTCTTGATTGGAATTGTGCATGCAAGGCAGCTAGTTGTCTCATTTCTGTAGATCTCTTTGTTAATTTGATGTAATTGTTCTTCTGATTAAAATTTTTAACAGTTTACTGTTTTTGCATGCTCCTTTTTTTGCTTCTTCATTTTCTTCTTCTTTATAGGTTATACCTGCAGAGGAGCATGCTGCCAAAATAGCGTCTGCCAGGGATGCTATTGGGGATTCTGATTTTTTCCTTGTGGCTAGGAGTGATGCACGTGCAACATCAGCAAAAACTGGTCTTTCAGAGGCCATTTCAAGGGCTAATTTATACATGGAGGTATGTATCTTGTAATATTTTACTTTCAGATACCATTAATATGGCTTTCAGTTGGGTTCATGCTAGTATATTGAATTTTGATTGGATGCAGCAAAGAATTCATTTGTGTATTGCACTGGCCACTGTTTTGGAATTTTGTTAATCCTGGCCTGTTCCAGACCTATTCCACTGTTGGCTGAACTATTCTTAATAAAACTTGTGAAAAGTTCTACATCTATTGAAGAGTAACATGAGGAAACGTGGATTATTTCAAGACTTAGAAAAGCATTTGTTCAAAAATTTATGTCCTTTTGTATTCTGCGTTGTGATTTGACCAGTAGCAACTGATACGAGTTTTGATACCATCTAAAGCCATATTACATTGAACTATTTATTAACATCTGATTTTCTCATGTCTTAGTCTTTTTCTTTGCGATGCTTCCTATTTCAATAGTCTGGGTACCTATTCTTAGAAAAACTTAGTATCCTCTAAACAATGGATCCTTTAGTTCAAGAGAACGTAGTTTTAATATTCTAGTTCTATATTTCTTCTCCATTTGATATGTAGTGGGTTCATGTGAGCTCCATTCTGGATGTCTTCTGCACTGAAACAGAATAGATTATTATTATTATTTTTTCACTCTATTTACTTTCAACAATCAAAATGGGTCTGTTTGTCAAGAATGGTGGATTGACGGGAGGATGAATAGGGTAAAATGAAAGGATGGATGTAAACCCATCTACCTAGTGGTTTGGCTAAGGAGGGATTAAAGTCGATCCAAAATCAGGACAAGCGAAGGGATCCTTCCTTGGGTCCCTATCCTTCTTACCAAATAAGGGAAACACCCTATGCTTCACTTCTCATCCCTACCCTCACGTCCTTCCTTCCCTTAATCCCTCCTGACAAACACAAGCTGAGACTTTTCAACTAGTCGTATACTTCAATTCATCTGGTATTCGCTTTGCAGTCGATGTATGTTTTGTACACTCAATCCTCATATAATTTCATAATAATTTAGATACGTTCTTGATGGCTTTAGTTTTATAGTTACTCTTAAACTTAATTCCCTTTGGGAAGTGTGTAAATTAGATATGTTACATTGCATGAGGCTATTCATCCCTGACCCATATAAGACAAAAACATGCAGGCTGGAGCTGATGCATGCTTTGTGGAGGCACCAAGGGATGACGATGAGCTCAAGGAGATTGGACGCAGAACAAAAGGCTACAGGGTTTGTAACATGATTGAGGGTGGGGTCACACCATTACACACGCCAGAGGAGCTGAAGGCAATGGGCTTCCATTTGATTGTGCACTCCCTTACCTCCGTCTATGCCTCTGCCCGTGCTTTGGTTGATGTTCTGAAAACTCTGAAGGCAAATGGAACTACTAGGGATAACCTCCAAAAGTTAGCTACCTTTGAAGAATTCAACCAATTGATCAACTTGGAGTCTTGGTTTGAGCTTGAAGCGCGGTATAAAAATGTTGTTGCAGTGAAAACATGATCTGGACACGGTAACTCTTTATATCCCTGAATGGCGTTAACAAGAGTCAGAAGTGGGATCATTTGTGGTGACCTATGAAATCTGTATCTCAGAAATTCTGAGTCTGTAATTCGAGGATATGGGACTCATATTTGTATCGGAATCACACTCTCACCTACTTTCTATGCCAAATTGAATAAAATTCACTTCGTGCTGATCATAATTGTTGTTTCTGTGCTATCAGATATTTTAATGTTTTGTTAACTCCTACCCACTTCCTGACACATGGTTATAATAGGTTGTGCCGTGAAAAGGAGCTTGTACATTTTCCAAAGCTGAAATCCTCTGTTCCTGAAAGTTCTGAGAACAATTTAGGCTTCATGGAAAAGATAAGAGAATTTAGGTTTGCCAACAAAAAGACTAATTTAGTTGTTGCGTTTGAGTATGTGAAAACCCTTAAATATTGTCTTGTTGATAGAAATTTCTGTCATTTAGTGGAAGGCTAATAGTTGATACGATTTGCTATTAATATTGTCTTCTGTTTTCCTTTAGAAATTTTATGGATTTCAGAAGACATAGCTCAATTTTTTTAGACTACTAGTATGCTTTACATATTCACAGGCAAGAAGAGACAACCGACAGTTCATGAAATTATGCAACTGGTCGTAATATCAAGTAATGCTTCACGGCAAAACAACCGCAATTCAAGTGTACAGAGGGCCACCCTTGCACAATATACGTTTTCCACCACAAAATTATCAGGCTTCAATAATCTATCCAAGATAATGTTGGCCTTGAGCCAATACAGTCCATTCAATGTTCACGGGTGACCAAATTAGGCGACTCGTGAATTTTTTCTGTCAACTTCTTTTTACATAGTGCAATCACCACTGCTTGCATTTAACTAGCCAAAACTTTTTCTGCTTATAGCTACTCATGCCTTGTGTAATCAATTATTCCTTAGATAGTCCAAAGGACACCCTTTATCTTGCAGCCAGCTTTACGTTCTTTAATGGCAGGTTATCATATCCTCAACATTGAAAGCCCAAGTTAGTGCCCATAATGGAGTTGTTAGCCCGCCTTTAATCAATACAGATCTTTTGTAGTCAACATTTTGTCTTCATGTTGTGTCATTTTTAAAATACATGTAGGACCCTCGAGTTCTTTATTCCAATAAATCTCTTATAACAGGCTGTCCTCCTTGCTTTGGATCCTCACATTACTACTCACTGAAAACAGCTTCAGCTTTCTTTGTTGCAAGCAATAGTTAAAACATGGTTCAGGGAAGGGGCAGTGCAGGTCTAGCCATGATCATTTCTAAGGTTGTACTACTGTGCCTGATTGTTCTCGCCGGACACGTTCAAGCAGCAACTTATACAGTCGGAGGGTCTGGTGGCTGGACCTTTAATGTGGATAGTTGGCCCAAAGGCAAGAGCTTTAAAGTTGGTGATACCATTGGTAATTTTTTTAATGTCGCATTTTTTTTTCTAGTTAAAATTATGCAGGAAATGATCATAAAGAAAACTGGAAAATGCCATGTAGTGGTGTTAAATAAAGTTAATAGGCTCAAATATTTATGGAAAAAAAAATGTTTATGGAGGAAAATCTATTGGGAACTAGCAAATTAAGGGAACCTAGAAACAAATTTTGTGCATTTGTTACGCATTTTCATGTTCAAAAGGGGAAGGCAAATAAAAAGGCCGTAGTTACATACATTATCTGGTTAAAATTTTCAGTTTTCAATTATGATCGAACAATCCACAACGTGGTAGCTGTGAACAGTGGAGGGTACACCGGTTGCACGACGCTGGCGGGTGCAAAAGTGCATAAATCAGGACAAGATCAGATAAAACTAGTGAAGGGACAGAACTTCTTCATTTGCAATGTTGCTGGGCACTGTGAGTCTGGGATGAAGATTGCTATTAATGCTGCTTGAAGTTATGCAAGAGTAGCCCTTAGCTTAAGGTCACCTTTCTTGTAATGTATCCCTGTATTAGTAGATTGGAGTACATGTGTCTCCATGTGTGGCTAGCTTTTCTGGACTGGTGAGACTAGAAATACAAGCTGGTGTTCATGGCTTGTTTTTGGTCCTAGACAATTCACGAGCGCGGTCCAATCATGTTTACATTAGGGTTCCCGGCATTACGGATTTGAACAGAATTGTGGGCTATTTAGGTATTATGGGCCGGCCTTGTTCCTTGGTTAACTTTTTTTAGGCTTTTTTGGATACGCCCCTAGATGCCTAATGGCTGTTAGGCCTTTCTAGCAATGCTGGGACGGTGGGACCTTGGGGTCTGTCGTGAATGAAAGCAATTCTCCTCTTTTTTTCTTTGTTTTTTTAATTATATGAAAAGGAGTTGATTTTGAGCCAATGAATTCTATTATCATCTATCTCAATTATGGTGACAAATTGAGTGGTGAAATAAAGTTCAACGTCTAAAATCATGACAGAGACAGATTTTGCAGTCTAACTAAGTTTTTCTTTAAAGCAAGATATAAAAACTAAAACCTTCTAACCTGTATTTGTTCTGAGAATAAAACCTCCTTATCTTTTTTCCCTTTTTCACTGGAGACTTAAAAGGATTTGGACTATATAATAAAAAGTACTAGTCCTTTCCTATTATATATCAATACAGAAAATTGCAGGACTTGAATCTATTTTACATATGAAAGGAAATCTGCTAAATATACCTATCAATAGATCAAGCATGTGTGTGCAAAACCTTCTAACTTTTAAAAATGCAAAAAGATTATGTGAACTTGAATGGATTATTAAGGAACTGTGGATAAATAAAGCATGGAAGGAGCAAACCTAAAATTGTCAACGCTGGAGTGACTTAAAAGAGATCCTAAAATATTGAGTTATTTGGATTATTTCAGATTTATAATAACTTAATAATTTCAGGTAATCTATAAGATTTGAGCTGACATCAAAATTTCCCATCTCTAAATTCAGAGAAAGTGCAATAGTCCTCACCTTCTAGATATAGATTAAGGGTGCTGTGAATTCTGCATTTTACACGGCAAGCAGATTTTGAACTTAATGCCTAGTCAGTGGTTATGCTTTTAGTATTTCACGATTTGGAAAATTCCTAGCAAGATAAAAAGCGTGTTGACTTGGATCGATTTCAACAAGGCTAGCTTGGAAAGGGACTGTTGTATACAATATTTTCCTCGACGTGCACGCCTCGATATAGTCTTTGCCGTCCTTGAAAAGGAAAAGGCCAAAAAAAAAAAAATATAGCTTGTATTTCCTCGAAGGCCCTTCACTTTTTGTTTTGATACTTGACATATTATGCCATCTTTTTTTAGAGTAAATTATAAATTAGTCTTTTTAGTTTTGAAAAATAAATTAAATAATTTCTCTTATTTTAAAATTTAATCATTTAATTTTTTATTTTAATTTTTTCTTGAAACTTAATAATATTTTTTATTTTTAATTTATTTTGATTTTTATTTTGAATAATAAAAAAAATATAAAATAATTGATGAGAAAATATAATTTTTTAAATAAAATAAAATTTAATTAAGCATGATCAATAGTTATCAAGAAAAGAATTAATTGGTTTCTTTAGATAATTAATTTTGAACATAAAAAAGTAATTAATTCATTTCTAAAAAATAGAGGGACTAATTTATAATTTACTCTATCCTTTTATCATTTTTGTTTATATGTTTTTTTTTTTTGAACATTTGAAAATTTTTCTAATCAAACAATGAGCCAAATATATGAAACCACCAAATATAATTTGTTGTGTAATATGTTAAGGGCAAACTTAGAGTTACCTTGAAACCAAAAAGTTGATCTATGGAATAATTTATTTATTTAATTTTTGATAAATGGACAATTTCAATTGGCTAATCAATGTAACCTTTATTCTGGTAAGTACTTTTTATATTTAAATAAATATATTTAATGAATTGTAATTCAACTAGTACGAGTGTTTTGTCTTTCAAAACTATTTTATTTAAATCTTTAAGTAAATTATAAATTAATCCTTTTAGTTCTGAAAAAAAATTAATTATTTTTTATCTCAAAAATTAATTATTTAGTCCTTATATTTTAATTTTTTATAATTTATTTTGATTTTTTGTTTAAATGAAAAATATAGAAAAATTGATGAGAAAAGATTATGTGTTTTAAGTAAATTAATATTAAATTAAATGTGGACAAGATCAAAGAGACTAAATAATTAGTTTTTCAAACAAGATGAATTAACTACTTTATTTTTCAAAAAATAAAAGTACTAATTTATAATATACTCTTGGAACTCTTCAAAAAAAAAAAAAATGTGGACATTTATACTTGGTAATTTATTAAAATGCGAAGGGCAGTTTTACAACAAGAAGTTCAGCCTTGACTCTTTGCTAATTGCTATATTCCTCCACCAAATCCAAACCTTCTCCACTTCTCCTTCATCGATCTCCTTTTTCCTTACAATCCTTAACCATTCCATTCAATTAGGAAATAGTCATGGATAGAGAACAAGAAGAAATGCAGTTTCTTGGGGTCTTTGGAATATACAAAGAAGCCTACAAGATCATCTTGTCATGGAGAAAGATCTTCAGTCAGATAACTCTTGCTCTGATTCTCCCTTTGTGTTGCATCTTCCTAGCTCACATCGAGGTATCAAACGTCCTCTTTGCAAAGATTATCAATAACGAAGAAGAGCTAGAGGAGACACAAGCCGGCACCCGGAAATACGAGAAACTATCTGATATGATTTCCTCCGAATGGGCCTATTTTTGGCTCTTCAAATTTGTATACTTCACCTTCCTTCTTATATTCTCTCTTCTATCAACTGCAGCTGTTGTTTACACCATAGCTTGTATTTACACGGCACGAGAAGTGACATTCAAGAAGGTCATGAGTGTTGTCCCTAAGGTTTGGAAGAGGCTCATGGTCACGTTTTTGTCCATCTTTATTGCTGTTTTTGTATACAACGTTGTTTCTATGCTAGTCATTATTACATGTGTATTTTTAATTGCACCCATCAAAGTTGGTCTTCCAGTTCTCTTCCTTTTATTGGTGCTATACTTCATTGGGCTTGTGTACATGAGCATAATTTGGCAATTGGCAAGTGTTGTGTCCGTGTTGGAAGAGGCATCTGGGATTAAAGCCATGCTGAAGAGCGGGGAACTGATTAAAGGCAAGATGTGGATGGCTATAATTATATATTTCATGCTAAATCTTTCTTATGCAGCATTACACATCGTGTTTGAGAAGATGGTTGTGCACGGGTCGTCGCTAGGCATATTGAACAGGTTATCATTTGGGATTCTCTGTTTACTCTTACTTCTTGTGTTGTTTTTGTTTGGACTTGTTATCCAGACAGTGATCTACTTTGTTTGCAAATCTTACCATCATGAAAATATTGACAAGTCGGCTCTGTCGGATCACCTCGAAGTTTATCTGGGCGAGTATGTTCCTTTGAAGTCCAAGGATGTACAGCTAGAGCAATTCGATGTTTGAGTTCATAATTAACATGGCAACAATAAGAAGAATTTTGCTTGTAATAGTCTATCGATCTTGCAGGTACCAAAACATGATCACCATATGTTTGTTCTCATATGTAAATCATGTGTGTACTTAATTATCAAAAGTGATAAATCAATCTTAGAGTTTCTTTAAATGGCTTTCCTTCCTCCTATTGTTCTTTTTATCAACATAATTGATAAGAAATGTGTTGGAATGGCAGTTGATGCCGATTATTCCTCACCTGACCAAAACAATGAGTTTGACCAGGAATTCTATGTTGCCATTTCTTGGGGTTGGTAGAGGGGGAAAGGAAAAAATAATCACTTACAACCTGCTCTGTCTTTTAATTGATCGAAAGGGAAACTACAGGTAAGCCCACGAATAAACTTTCTACACCAAGTCCAGAGAAGTAACGTCAAACGGCAAGGGACCACATTTGAAAGGGATTTCGCCTTCTCCATTCATTAAAATATTGCCAAACTATACATTGCCTAATTTTACAATAGAATAAAGGGCTTTATATCTAGTCGGCCCAACTCAATTATATTGGCCCATATTCTTGCAACTTCGTGATTTCTTCACGCCCGGTCTTCCTGCTCCAGTTCCATCTGTTAAATTCTCTCATGCTTAAATCTGTTGTTGACTCTTGCTTATATTTTTATGGTATGTTAAATTGCATTATATTGTTTATAACAAAAATGAAAAGTCATATTCTCCCCTCTTATGCAAGGAAGAGTATTTCTGAACTAAATGCCGGTTATGAGATATAGATTAATTAATAATTAATAAAAAACACTAAAAGAAAATGAATGTTTACTATTTATTTTTCTGTGTGTTCTTATATCGGGGATATACATTCATTTATACTATATGTTTCACCGTTGGCCTTTCATACTGCTTTTTGTTTTCTGGTTGCTTGTGTTTTTACTACTGTTTATATGCTTTAAACTTTTGTTTTCGCCAATTGTCATATGTCAGCTTTATTTTATTTTTTGTTTTATTGACTGATTTACACCCTTTTTTTGCTTGTTATTTTTTTTTTAATGTCATTGAGTGGATTTTAGATTTTACTTTTCAGCTCTCCGCTCATTCTTTGGCTTTCTATTTACTTTGTCTTTTTCTGTCATCCTTCGTTCATTCTTTTCCCGCCCTTCTCTTTTATATTTATTTATATTTTATGTCATTACATGCTTTTATATTATTTTTATGCCCTCCATCAGTTTTTTCTTTCTTTTTGTTCTCTCTCTCCTTTTATTTTTATTCTCTCTTATTTTTTATAGACCATTAAATGCATGGTTCTTTTCTCCTTGTTTTTTTTCCCTTAGAAAAAGTCAAAGTATGTATATTTCATTATTTGAGATTTTTTTATTTTTAGGTTATGTTTGTTTGAGGAAAAACAAGATTTTTTAATATTCGTTTTGCTTTTAGAAAAAAAATCAATAGAAAATGATTTCCGATTAACAAAAAATCATATATATATGATAGTATTATTGTGGATCTCAGTTTTTACTTACACATTTGATATGAAGTTTGAACAAAATATTGCACTTTGCTCCATGATTTTATCCTAAATTTTTGTTTCGATTTTTAACTTCATTTGTATTGCGGTTTGATCCGTGGATGCGGAGAGAAAGTTTCTTTATAGTGATAACTTGAAATATTAAGTTTCTTTATGGTGATACCTTAAAATATTCGCTTGATTTTTTGAATTTAATTTAAATTTTTTAGTAAGAATATTTTTTAGTTTTTAAGTGATAATTAAAAGTAAGAAGTGAAAAAAAGAAGAGAGAGAATTAATTGTTATACGTGTAAAGTCTATACGAGATAGGCCAAGCATGTAACAAAAATATTTGTTAAGAGGAGAAAAAATAAAATTCACGTGTTTTATTTAGTTCATTTTTATATAATTAAAGTTATCAAAATAAAATTTATAAGTATTTTTAATTAAAAAATTGGCTATGCATATACACATATGTCACGACTCTAGGAGTGGGCCAAAACTAACACGAGGACTTAGAGAATCGTAAGACCTACCTCGCCCCAAACAAGCTTCGGATACTAATCTAAACCTTTATTCATAATCGAACTTATACTATAGCCCTCGATGCAATCTTACTCAAATCATCATTCCAATCAAATATCATCTCGATTTGCATTATCATAACTCGACAATCAATTCTTTAACCTTAATACAATTCATAACTCCATACCGTTCTCATCTCAATAACCAAGATCAATATTAATTATCAAATCTTAATACACTATCCACAACTATAACTCGCAGAGGATCTAATATACAACAAAATAAAACATGTATAGATTATGAGGAATTACAAAGAAATAAGTTGCACGGTCAAAGTGTCGACTTCAAATCAAATAGCCAAGAGGAAGCAAATGAACGATCCCTCGATATCTTGCAAGGCCGAAATAATGAGGGGTGAGCAAATCACGGCTCGGTGAGTAGACATTATATAATATACTAATGAAGGAAAACGAACCACGGACGATGTTCTCAAATCCATGTCAAAATGAAATGCTTTTTTTTTTTTTTTTTGGTCAAAATGCAATGCTTAATTCTCAATCATATGCATATAAAAAACATAATTCGTATCACAAATCCAAATGGTTCAAAACCATTTCATATCAATTCATTAATCATTTATTCATACATATATCATACTCATATGAAAAACCTATATATATATATTGTGTGTGTGTGTGTGTTTTATACACCCATGGAGTAATAACATATCATTGGGTACAAACACCCAAAGGTGACGTCTCCCGTGACTAGGTTTCTACATGTTAGCCGACATACGATCTAGCACTATACCTCTCCTGCTAGATGAAGCCTCGTATCGTTGAGCTCAAAGGCTACCCCTTCGGTAGTTAGGTTCCTCGGGGTCTCAAAATTTTCAAAAAACCAAATACACTTGTACATTTTCAAATCGGCATTTCAAACACCATGCGTGCATTTTCATAAAATACACATATACTTAAAATAACGAACATAAGGTATACACGTTCAAATCTAAAAACACATATCAAACCATTCAATTCACATGAAATCATTTGACTACGAAATCATTTCAAATATTCACAATGTTTGTTTCCATCTAGGTTCCTAGGGAATGCTTCTAAAACATTAATAAACCAATGATGCATGAATGAACATTATCAATAAATGTAAAACATAGTACACTACATAATATCCACTAACAATATGATTTGAAGAACCGAACGGAATCATGGTTTCGATGGAGCTTCCCACTCCAAAGAATCTAGTATCACAAATGATGAGGCATCCATCAATATCGCATGACAAGGGATAATCCTAACAACATATTATTCTAGAATTAAAATACAAGATTATCAAATAAAAATAAAATTGATTAGAAAGACTCGATCCGATAACCTAATTAGATTTTATGATCCATTAATTAATTTTAAATAATCTCTTAATCATATTTTTTTACCAATCTTTAATCCATCCTTAAAAAATCAACTAATTATCAATCCGATTAAATGATCAATTCTATTCTAATTTATCCAATAATCACTCCATTCATCTTTAATTACACTTTTATAACTTAATTCCTCATTTTTCTCAATTTTCAAATTTGTCACTATTCATCATCTCTAACCTCTCAATTTCTCAAATTCATTCAATTTTACTTCAAATTAACTCCCTAATTCACCTACCCGGGACAATTAAATATCAATTAAACACCTAGGATCACTTAATCAAACTTTCCTCCAAATGGATCTCGAGAACCCTAACCTCAATCTAAGCAATTCCTCAAGCAAATCATTAACCCAAAGCAATCTCAATTCTATATCATCATTAACTATTTACAAACATCACACTTCAAAGTTCAATGGATCAAAATCCTTACCTTTACACTAGGCTCCTCAAATCTAATTTTTTCTTAGCTTTCTCCAAGCTTCCAAAGATCTAAGCTAACTATAATCCACCTAAGCCAACTAATTTATGTTTTTCCTAAGCTAATTTAACATGAATTAGCTTAGGAATTGAGGTAAATATGGGGAGGGATTTTGGGAGAGAAAATGCATGAGAGAGGGAGAGAAAGAGAAGGAAAATTTTGAAAAATAGGAGCAATTACTACTATTTATACCGAGTCCTTTTTTTTTTTTTTTTGGGTTATTACACTAAACACTTAACATTTTCTATTTTTATTTTAAAATCAAATTCTCTCAAAATAAAATATTTGAAATCATGTTTTGAAAAAACACAACCTATGATATCATATTTTTTAAACAAAGTTCCTTATCCTAATACTATTATCCTAATATTATTGATTGTTTTAGAATATATATATATATATATATATACATACTTTGAAAAATTTATGTTCTCAATATTTACTAAGGATAAAATTTTATTTTAAATTTTTAAGTATTTTTTAACATTAATTTCTGCATTATTTTTTCAATACAATCTTATGAAAAAAATAATTAAATTTACTTTTTCTTATTTTTGATTAATTAAAACTTACGTTTTAGATTAGTACAAAATTTTATTTAAAAATCAGTGTATATATATATAAAAAAAAATCATACTTTTTTAAGAAGGAAATCTATAAAAGAAAACACAAGAAAAAATTAATTAAGTAAAAGATTTTGATTTAAAAATATAAAGTTTTTTTTTTAATTTGATATATTTTAGCGGAACTATAGAGAAGACTATCAAACTATAATAAGTTTTTCAGATAATGTTATCTATTTTATTGATCTACAGTATAGCGTGACTATATAAATATCAAAATTAACTAAAGTAATTAGTTAGTTATGTTTAAATGAAGAGTTTGAAAGAGGTTAGTTCAAACTTCAAAGTGAATACTTTAGTTGCACGCAATACTCCCCCAACCCCACTTATTTCAACAAGTTTTTATGGCATAGCGTTGACTGGAAAACCAGCTAACGTTCTCTGAAAGAAAACGACTATCGAATATGTTGGTTCCTATATATAATAATGGAGTAATATATATATATATAAAGAATAATCTATTCCACAGCATTTATTTGTGGCCAAATCAAGTCCTACGCTGCTCAAACGACGAACTTCAACAATGTCGGCTTGATAATTGATAGCATTAACATCTCCCTTACTATTCCATAATTGACTTTGGCATTGACTTGGAAATTCATTGGAAAACCAATAGCAACAGGGCCAGGCAGCTTCTAATTACCAAGTCGATCTTCGCATAAATTGATGTTCCACCAAAACACAACCTTCACCACTTTTCCCTTATCATTTCTTCACCCTCCTCCACCAAAAATTCAGTTAAGACAATGGTCATGGACAGAGAGCAAGAAGAGATGCAATTTCTTGGGGTCTTTGGCATATACAAAGAAGCCCACAAGATCGTCTTGTCATTTGGAAAGATCTTCAGCCAGATAACTCTTGCCTTGATCCTCCCCTTATCTCTTATCTTCCTAGCACACCTCGAGGTCTCCAATGTTCTCTTAGCAAAGATTACGAACAACGAAGTAGAGTTAGATCTCGCGACAAAAGCTGGCACGCAGAGATACAATAAATTATCTGATCATATCTCCTCCGAATTCGCCTATCTTTGGCTCTTCAAAGCTGCATATCTCACCCTGTTTCTTATTTTCTCTCTGCTTTCAACCGCGGCTGTTGTTTACACCGTAGCTTGTATTTATACTGGCCGAGAAGTGAGTTTCAACAAGGTTATGAGTGTTGTCCCCAAGGTTTGGAAGAGGCTGATGGTCACCTTTCTGTCTATCTTCATCGCTTTTTTCGCATACCATGTAGTTGCTTTCCTGTCTTTTTCGGTAGCGTTCGTTGCATGGGCAGTTTTTATTGGAGACAGACCCAAAGTTCTTTATTCATTTGGGACTGTTCTGTTGGTTCTGTACTTCGTGGGGCTTGTGTATATGACCGTAGTTTGGCAATTGGCTAGTGTTGTGTCTGTGTTAGAAGAGGTTTGTGGGTTCAAAGCCATGGCCAAGAGCAGGGCACTCATCAAAGGGAACATGTGGATGGCTATATTTATATATTTCAAGCTGAATCTATCTACTGCTTTAGTACAGATGGCATTTCAGAAACTAGTTGTTCACGGGGTGTCAGTTGACATGGTGAGTAGAATATCATATGGGGTTATTTGTTTATCGTTGCTTCTTGGATTGTTTTTGTTTAGACTTGTTATCGAAACAGTGATCTATCTTGTTTGCAAATCGTACCACCATGAAAATATTGACAAGTCTGCTCTGTCGGATCACCTTCAAGTTTATCAGGGAGAGTATGTTCCTTTGAACTCTAAGGATGTCCAGTTAGAGCAATTTTACGTGTGAGTTTTGTTCAGCTAGAGTAATAGCACTTGATCTTGTATTATGTTACATATGGTTTCCGTGAATCAATGTTCGTTTTTAATTTTCAGAAGTATAAATCAGAATCTTCTGTAATTCTGAAAAAAATAAGACTTTTCTTCTCTCAATATCTCTATATATCATGATAATTTATGCACCTTTGTAAAGTTTCTCGGATGGGCAAGAGACATCAATTGGTTGCCATAAAATCCTCAGCACCTCCACGTGTTTGACCAAGAGGGGCTGGTAGAGTTGACTTTGTAAAAAATAGAGATGATTATTTGGTCGTTGGATTTCAGTTAATTGAAACTATAAAATTAAAAACCAAACTCAAATCAAATTAGTAGTAGGCTTTCTAGGTTTTTCTTCTGAATCTTTTAAATAATATAAATAGATTAAAAAAAAAAACAACATCAATTCATCATATATCTATTATAATATTAGATATTGATTTTTTTGTTTATTTATATTATTTTAAAACTTAAAAAATAATCAGAAAAAATTAAAAATATAGTTTTTAGTTCAAAAAATGAAAAAAAAAGATAGGGTTCTTTTTTTTTAATTTTGAGCAAAAATCGATTCAATTTAATTTGGTTTTACAATTTAAACTATTCAAACTGAATACTGCTCACCCCTATCAAAAAGAAAATTGAAATTAAATGTGGGCCTTTGCTCTAAATTCTCTAGTAATTAAAGCCCACGAACTACAGTTTAAAAAAAAACAGTTCCTGAATAAAGTAGTTTTGGATCACCGTCCTATAGGACAATAAACAAGGAAAAGCTTAGATGGGCCCAGTAAATACAACCTCAAGCTCGAGGACAAGGAAATGCCAAGGCACACTGCTCATCTTTTTCCAGACATATGCTGTTGGACTGTTGGTTGCACAGAAGTTTGGAAGACAACAGTTGTTACTGAAACATTGTTGCGCTCCTCTTCTCTTATGAAACATAAGCATTCAATCTTTTGTGTACTGCAATCTTAACCCTCAAATTCAAATGTTATTGTCCAAATCACTAAACTAATTAACAATCGATACATACAATTTTATTTTTTTAAAAAACACATACATACAGAGTTATATTTTAATTTTTCATCCGTTGAGTATGGTTGACGTTTGGTTAAGAGATCACATTGAGTTTATATGGATCGTATAATGAATTGTGTGATGTTTTTATTTATCTTGAAAAAAAAAAGAGATTATTTTTTTGATTTTATGCCTTAAGAGTATGTCATTGATGACATTTAATTTGTGAGGACGTAATGTTTTTTTTTTTTTTTTTTTAATTTCCTATAAACTGATCACGACTGATTTTGATTAAATATTCTAAAAAGAAGACAAACTTTTGTTGAATAGTTGAACTGAACTAAGGACATAGATATTTTGATATAACAAATTGCGAGAATACAAATAAATTTCTAATTTATAACAAAAACGGTGAGCATGAAGGCTACATATGTAGCACCCGGTCCAGCAAAACACATGACCTATGTAGCGTCTAAAGTTTAGAAGACTCGTAATACAAAGAGAACATAGATTAATAAATATAGCACCAACTATTAGTTATGATAGATTCGAGTCAAGAGTTTTTGGGCCAGGAGGAGAACGGAATCTTAACCATTGAACCAATTGATCACTCACTTATCAATGCTAAATTTATATATGTCCCTTGCTATATTTTTGCGTCCATTGAGATGCCAAACAAGCCTCTTCTAGCAAATCCTGCTCAATAAAGACCATTTTCCCCCTTCCAAGTACTAGGAAAACCGAGTAATTTGATATATTTCCACGCTTCTTCTTGCTAAAAATCAATGTAACTATGAAGTCCACCAATTTGCAAGGGAGTCCATAGCTCAATAAACGCATGGCATGATACACAATTTCTGTGTTGAGGATATGTACTGGAACTATACGGGCAACAGTGGAAGTTTCAACACCGCAGTTAGACAAGTCGTAAGCAATTTCCATTCCCGAATTCCCAGAACCGACAACCAAAACTCTTTGCCCCTATTGTTGCCATTCTCATACTTGCTTGAATGAATGAATGAATTCCCCACCAAAGCTATCTAGCCCAGGCACCTTAGGAATAAAACCTTCACTATTCTCACCAGTTGCTACCACAAGAAACTTTGCAATATATTTTTCATGCACATTTATATCAACATTTTTAGCCCTAATATGCCACTTCTCACTCTCTTAATCATGATATGCAGACTCAACAGATCTTTGACACCGCGGACTAATCCCAAAATGAGAAGCGTAATTGCCCAATTAGCTAATGAAACCACTCCTAGGGACAAATCTAGGTGCATCGGATGGGAAGGACGTCATGAATGGAAGTTCAGAATATTGCTTTGCGAGGTGCAACTTTAGATGGTCATAAGCCCTTTTCTTCCACAAAGAGGCGTAACAATCCTCTCTCTAGGATAATGTTCAGAATGGAAAGATAGTTGAGGCATGCCGATGTTGCTGGACCAGCAGGACCTGCACCAACAGCGACTACTTGACTTCTTCCATCGGTAATATTACTAAGAAGAATGATGTTTTAGACTGAAAGATGAGCTTTAGTACCTAGCAAATATTTGATGTCACGCAACAAAAAGGATTTTTTGGTGGGAGAATTACCGCTGCATTTTCTTGCATTTATACAACAGCATGAGATTTCCTTCCTCGATCCCCATTAATCATCCAGTAATGTACTTTAATTTTAGTCTCTTTTCTTATTTGCAGGAATCTCTCATTTCCTTCCGATAAATTGCCATCTCAACAATTTTTGGATTCTCAAGAAGGTTTTTATCTACTGAACATGATACCTGCCCCTGCCATTTTTTTTAGAGGCATATAAACATGAGATTATGATGATAAGAAGAAACATATAGTTGTAGCAATTATTGGTCATTAATCCGAAAATCCATCAATGGAACCCATGTTTCTTAATTTGCCTGGTCGCTGATACCACTTTCTAAAAAAATTATTATTTTACTCAAAATTGTTAACTTGAGTTGAAATAACTCTAATTGCTTAAATAAGTAGTTTTGAATTCGAATCTTTGTATCTATAGAAAACTTTTTGAATAATTATACCTATATTGCATGTCCGACCCAATAACGAATATTGATATGATATTTTGGCTTTAGGATATCTAAGAATAATAATAAAAAAATTATTATTATTATTACAAATGCTACCAATGCAATGTCTCATTGTCTAAATGATTGTATGATTCCGAAAAGTTAGGTTTGAGTTTATGAAATTGTTCATTCATGAATCCTTTTGTTTTTACAATGGTATATTTCAAAAAAAAAAAAAAAATCTTATAGGTACTGTATAATTGAATTATATTTTGAAGATTTAATCATATTTCATTTTTTTTCCTTTTGAATTTCTTATTTCTCCATTTTTATGTATTTAGTTCGAATTGTTGGAGACATTACTATATAATTCAAAAAAAAAAAAAAAATCTAAGCCTTTCACTGCTGTAAGGAAAGGTGCTAATATTAATTGTTTTTGAGATTGGAGCATAAAATTGATTATTGTAAAGCATGTTATTGTTGAAATATTGATGAAGCACTTTGGTCCTATGGCAAGAGAGAAGCAAAGGTAATATTTAATGATGCTATATTATTTTCACCTTTGCCACCTATCCGTTGAAAATTCGAACTTTATCCCTATGTGCCGAACATGTGTGCAATACTTTCAGTTTACGAGTACTATCATATAGTATTCTTTTTAAGTATAATTACTAAAAAATCTTATAAAAAAATTTTTTATCTAAAAAATTCATAAATTTATTTTTAAATCTCTCAAATTCAACAATATTTTTCGTACTAAAAACACCTAATAATTAACTCTAGTTTTAACTATTGGTTGTTTTGGTAAGAAAAATATTGTTTTAGGGTTGTGAGATTTAAAAATATTATTTTGTGTTTGGGAGATTTAAAAATAAAATAGCGAATTTTTTTGATTGAAAATTTTTTAGAAGGTATTTTCGTAATTATCCCTATTTTGAATGAAACCATTATCTTTCAAGATATGTATTTCTATCATGGTTGATCATGTTTTATTTAATTAATGCACTAAAATATGTTATACATTCATCTTGTAATTTAATTTAATTGTTTGATAAAAAATGTTGAGTTTTGATTAATTAAAAACTAGTATTATCGATGATGCTTTTTTTTCTATCAATATATTAGGATTTAAGAAATCACTAATATTCCTAATCATACGTATTTCATTTTTCTTATTTGTATGATAACTCTTTGATTAAATTACAAGAGAATGACTAGAGTCTTATTTCATCAATATTAATTAGTTAAATTGCCTCGGTAGCTATAGTTACTATATAATAAAATTAATCTCGTAATTAACGAAACAAACGATCGATAAAAAAAAAACCTCTAACATAAATAATTTTTTAGTATAATAAAAAAAATAGTCGAATGTTAGTGTTTAAAAGTCAATGAACCTCAAAAAAATTTTGTTTTCTTTCGAATGCAATAAAAAAGAACTTGACTTGATCATGAAAAAAATAATAATAAATATCAAACTCATTAAAAACTATGAAATGAGTTTATTATTAGATAAAAAATCTAAAAAAAATTTCTATCTAAAAAATTTATCAATTTATTTTTTAAATCTCTCAAAACTAAAAATTAAAAAAAAATTCTTACCAAAAGACCCAATAATTAACTAGTGTTAAGTTAGATGTTAACTATTGTGCGTTTTAGTAAGAAAAATATTATTTTGGGTTTGAGAGATTTTAGAATAAATTGATAGGTTTCTTGGCTATAGGATTTTTTTCGAGGGTTTTTCTGGTAATTATCCCTTCTTTTTATAAGAAAATCGATAAAACCATTTCCTGGTACCTTATTTGGTTCTTTTATACTTTTAATTAATTTCTAATATATTTTGTAAAATTCAATATACTTCAATCATTTTTCTTTTGATAATGCAATTTTGTTCTATTCTAATTGTTCGTTGCAT